ACTTACTAGTTTTTAGGTACACATTTCGAATGGAATTTTAATAGAATGGCCCGTGCATCGAAGAAGATTTGTGTATTGGCTTCAGTGCCACAGAGCGGCTGTTTTTGGGTTAAAGTTTTGGTTGAGCTACATGCTTTCTTCCATGTAAGTGCGGCAACTTCATTAACTTTCAACAGAGCTAATTTCATCACAGAAAAATCTGAGTAGGTTGGTTCATTATTTGCACAACTGAAAATTGCATTAAACCGGACGTCGCTGGAAGTAATGAAATCCAGGGCAAAAAACTTTAAGAATAGCATGTTTCTCAAAAATTCGGCACCTTATCCTACCTTATATAATTTTGGAGTGTATCTCTGTGTGTGTGTGTGGATGTCACTTTCGAGGCCCGATTTGAGGGTCTTCCCGTGTCCAAAATGCGCCGATTTTTTGTCACTTGGGGGAATCGACCCTCCTCTTTCCGATGGCGCTTTCAGAATTTCGATAAAATACAAGTTTACAAAGTTAAAGCCGGTTTTATTCATTTTTGGGGGTAATTTGCATGATGTGAAAAAAAATACAAATTTCCTCATTCTTGCAATTTGCCCGCGCGTGTGTGGTCGGTGGGGGAAGGGGGTTCGAAGGACCCGAGCTATCGGAAAGTCAAATTTTTCATGCAAAGGCACAATTCCAGCGCCCAAGGCCCGCGAAGCGGGTTTTGGGCGCTGGTCTTTAATAACCTTGCTACCACGTCAAGTTAATACCCTTGATCAAAAAGTAGCTTTTGCTGCATAAAAAGGAAAGGTATAGCATTAATGCATATTCCAGGCTAAATATGAGTTAAAATAAATAAGTTACAAGTGTGATTGGATGAGGTTCAGGGATCTGATAAAAGAAATGGGATGCTATTGTCATACTTCCTTACAAAATAAAAAAATTAAGTTTTTGACCTCGAGCCCGAAAACGATCCAGGCGTTCATCCCAAGGCGGGAATCCCAGGAGCTGGTGTCTGAGTGTGAGAGCATTTGTGTGTTAGCCACTCCCCCTCTTCTTCCATAGAGATATCGGATAACATGAGTGAGCCCCAGGCCATCCGGGTGTTTTTGGAAGGGGGCATAGCTGCGGACGTTGGTGTATGTCTGTGTGTTCGTGTGTGTATGTCTGTTTGTCTGTGTGCACGTCGAATGCTTTGAGTGCACTGGGGGGGGGAGGGCGAATGCTTGACGAATCCTATTTTGTGCTCGCCGCTGCCTAACTGGATATGCCGGCCCGGGGGGAGCGCTGACCAGTTCCGTCCAGAATTTCCCTGCTCCTCAATGTGGGATGCACCATGGGTTGGCCGGGGAGCACCAACCCGGAACCGATTGAGGTCAGGGTGGAGGTTGTCGCGTTCCCGCTACTGCATGCGCATGCTGAATGACCGGAAGACCGAGCTCATATCCATCCCTTCCCCTCATTACCATGCTGATTTCCCTGTGTTCCCTGGTATATAAAGCCCCCGTTTCTCGTTGTGATTGCCTCAGTCATCCGATGCGAACCCCGGCCTCCCTGTCCTCATTTACTTCACCGAGGTGTCATCCCACCGGGGACAACCTCAGAATAAATGTTGTGACCTTTCTTGTCTGCTCTCCCACGCTATCGAGACAGAGGTGTACCAGTTTAGAAGGCGCGTGGCAGCTAGGTAAATAGCGAAATAACGGAGATGGAAAGCCGAAGTTCCTGTATTATTCTTACAGAGTTATACCTCGATCATCATTGAGCTTTAGTAATTATAAATACTTATGAATTCAGTCTTAATTGAATTTAATCCCTTATTCTAATTTTTAACGCCCCGTTTATTTGCCCCCCCGTTAAGCAACCTTTACCCATGAAAGGCACGCAAAAGAAAAACAGCGGAACTGACAAATACAACCTGTCCGAGAAAACCCGCGTCAAAATGTAGCCGTCCAAAATTAGGATCCCAAAAACCAGAAAAATACGTTTCAGACAGCCTGCTGCATACGATAAATAACCCCCAAATGGCGGTGATCAATAGCTGTAATTAAAAGGGCCCACCACTTTGACTGGGGGGGGGGGGGTACACCCGAACGACGCGTGAATACGATTGACGGCTATGCGTGTAATTGCGGACGGGTTGAACCCATCTTGGTTTTTGACGACGAGAGCATGATTTCGGAATACAACATAAGGGTGTCCCAAGAAAAAAACCGAGCAAGGAATAAATAGAAAAATAACGGGAAAATGTCAAAATGTCGAGAACAGGAGTCTTGAAATCTCGAATCGCAACTGTATGGAATCCCCAAGTTTGAAAAGCATCAATTTCCGAATTTGTAATTTTCGTAATGTCCAATTTCGTGAATCTTCAAATTACCATCACCTGGCTCAAAAGTAAGAGGCCCACCAATTGCACCTCACACTCGACGACCTGCCGATGGAAACTATCACGCTATGACAATTCGAGATTATGATAATTTTATATTTATTTGTGGAATTTTTGAGGTTAGAATTTTGCCGATTCTGATAAGCCATCATAATATCCATATTGCCTAATTTCTTGTGATTGGTACCTCTACTAATTAATCGTGGTCATGGCTTCATGCGTGGAGGAGCCGAGATCCGAAAAACCCGAATCAGAGCTTTGGTGACTGCCACCGCCGGGAACCCACATCTTTTGGGGGTTAGCTACCGCTGCAAAACAGCAGTTTGACGGGCGAGATGTGGCCGGGTAAGAGTCGGGTGGTACAGTTGACGGTGAGCCCCCAGGCGGAAACCCGTTGCCAGGCGCTACAGGGGGCCCTTACCTCCCCTCTGGCCACTACGCTACACAAGATTCCCGTGGGACGAAGAGGAAAATCGGGAATTTTGAGCCTTTGGGGCGTAAACATTGGATAATTGGCTTTAGTTTCTGATCAGTAATAATTTGGGACTCGAGTTCAAAATTGGTTTCTGATTTTTAGAGAAATCAGCGCTGGAGTGACTCTTTACGGTAGCTTCCGTTCCGATGGTCATGTCTAAATTCTTGCCATTACTACTACAAGAAAAAGTCTTGGTTTTAGGACGATCAATTTAATTAAAAATAAACTCTGCGGAGCACAGTCGCAGCTCGAAAAAGTATAAAATAATTTTAAAAAGGTATGCTGGCGCTAAACTACAATATTTCTCTTGAGCATTGCAATAAAGCCCTAAGCATTAGCTATGGTTATGGTAGCTGAATTTGCGTGAGCTCTGGGTACCCGTTACCCAGACAATTCTGATTGCTTGGCACCCTGGCCCAGGTACCATAAGCAGGTGAAATTTTAGCTCCGCCTCCACTGTTTAAATTCACGATTATACGAAAAGAATCTGCGGATAACAATAAATAAAAACGCGAATCTGCATGTTATTTGGTAAAAATATACGGATCAAGCTAGATAGAAAATGCATTATTATTGCACGCCGATTATATTTTAAAAAACCACAGTTTTTATAGTTTATCTTAACGCTTCTAAAACACATAATATTTGTTTGCATATGAGGGTTCTCGTGGTTTTTTCTTTACTTTACGGGGGGTGAGGCAGACTGTTGTTTTAATGTGAAGTATTCATATTCTTATCGGGAATTCGTAGTCAGGATGCAAATTAATAAATGTAAATTGCCTGATCATCACGGCCCCAAATGGTTGCGGGGCCAAAAGACGCGAAACCTTTTTTAAACCTGGTATAAAATAAAAAGCTGAACTAAAAACAGATTAGAATGTATTTGGAGCCCTGAATTTCGTTAGTCTATCGCATTCTAAAGATGGCCCAGAGTTGCAAATCCGTTTTTAGCCACACCATCATACGTCCCAAATCCTTTCTTCTATTGTTTCTTGTGTGTGAGGGATCTATGGGAGGGTTGAGTGGACGGATCGGAGCGGATCGGTGAGGTCACGTCATCCCCCTCTTTGCCATAGTACACAATCGGAAACTAGCCCTAGACAAGCAACGAAAAAGGGGCCCCCTTCTGGGCCCATGAGTCAGCTCTACCAATTTGTGCTGCCAGCCGCTACAACTCTGGGGGGTAAATTGTACAAATAACTTGGTTGGGTGACGTCCATAGTTTGCATATTAGCTCCAGTGATTGGGAGTCATCCCTTTGTTTGTTGGGATGCTGTGACGTCGAGGAAAATAATTAGAGACGTCAAACGACGTTGCCAATTGCTAAAAAAAAACAAAGAGAAGTAATGTTTTGTACATTATTTATAAAATTATTTTTTTTCTCAAATTTGACTGAACTACAGCTGGAAATACATACCAAAACCAACAACAAAAAGAGCAAAAACCAAGTTTTAAAGCTTCCAAGGGCGATTATTACACTAATTCGACCATGCGCTTTCAGATGGCGTCAAAAAAACAGGGTCGAAAAAAACTGTGCCAAGCCATATTGGGGCCTGTTCGCGTGACTCGCGGATGGCCTTTTAACGGTAATACGTGGGTGGAAGGCAGTGCAGGTCATTTTTTAGTATGGCTACCGGATTTACGCCTTTTCATCACCGTGCGCCACGTTTTTTTGTAGGAACACGTTAAATTGAGCAAACGTTGAGATTTGAAGGTTTTCAAGGAAGCTTTTCACAGTTTTGGATGAACGAGAGCAACGAATTTATATTTGTCTGTCGAGATCCCATTTGTCGGTCGTCTTAGCGAAATGCTGCTTTCTCCATATCGGATCTACCTACCTAACATCTCTACTTCACATCCCATACGACATCCCCGCTGATGAGACCACACGCTGTCGATTGCCTTCATCCTTGACCATCATAGAATGGTGCCCCCCCCACATCCCCTCTCATCAACATTGGTGGCCCAACCATCCCTTGCTGTTGTCACCTTACAGATGAAGGAGGGGCGTTCTGTAGAGGGGTTGAGACTGGTCTCGGGACCCGCTCGACTATAAGAGCTGCCCCCACCATGCCGTGCCATTGTCTCGTCACACCCCCCCACCTACCACCCCCATTCTGGCCCATTCTTACTGAAACACAGTTTGTTCTACTTGCGAATTGCGCCGAAATGGATCGGCTTTTAATTATAGCCACTGCTATATCGGTGCATGCGGTTTTGGCGGGTGGGTTATTTAAATGATTGTTATTCTATATTTAGTTTACCAATTTTTTTCCTTCTCTATTTATTTTCAAATTTTCTACTAATTTCCTCGATTCATCTAAAAATCTATTAAATTCTTTATAAAAATTGTAACTTGATAATTAAGGATTGCCGGTTCTTTTGTCTACCTCTTTACAGTAAGTTAATTTAGAATTTGATCTTTCTGTGCTCTGAACCCTATTCTTTCGCTATCTTTGCAAAATTTAGACAATTTATACAAAAACACAAGTTTTGCTTTATTTAGAGCTGAGTTTTACCTAATTGGTAATTTACCATAGAACCCAAACTACTAAAAATTTAAACTATAGACTTAATCCCAACACGTTCTCTTCATTTAGGACCTCAATTTACTGAATCTGCATAAACATCCTAAAATCCACGTCCGTTTTTTTCTCTTTCAAGCTCTTGTTTACCATTTCTTTTGTCATAAGACGTCCGCGTCCCACCCCCAAACAAATCATCCCTTCCCAACTTCCGTGAAATACTATCCAATACCCAAATTTTACCCCCGCCCCCACATTCAAAAATTCAATTACCCCCTCTTTTTAGCCAACAAAGGATTTGATGGTCGCGTCTGCATGACCGTCGAACTTTTGAAATCGTCCGAAAACGCGACCCGATATTATGAATGCGCCCCATTGAGCCCAGAAGAGGTAGGGGTGACCAGTAAAATCAACAACCACAAAACTTTTTAGGTGACCGGCTATCAATTGAACGACAAATATTTGGGCGTGTGGAATTCACGGGATTGCCCGGCCCAACATGAATTTGACGAGGTCAAGCAGCGATGCGAAAAGAAAACGACTATGCGTCGACAGATGGCAACTTGCCAGCAAAATCCTACGAGCACCGGCTGTGCATCACCCTGTGATGGTATTGGCTTAATACATATTTTATAAATGGTTTTAGCCACCAATTCGAATCCGACGGTTGGCGGTGGTTGCTCTTGGCTGACGGCCAATCTTCAGCCGGACCCGCAGAGCAATGCGTATTTCCTTCAATGCTCTCCAAACACTGCAGGGTAAATTAGCTAGACCGACAGTCTTTGTCAAATTTGTTAATATTTATTAGCCTTAGCACCTTTTTGATTTTTCAGCCAATCTTGTGGTGAATGGGTTCGCGTCCCATGCTCTACGGGCACTGTCTATGACAACTCGAATTCCGTCTGCGTTCCATTGACAATTAATCAGGTATTTTTTCAATGGCTTGAACCAATTCAACATTCATGGAATATTAAGATACTATTCTTATTGTTTTAGCCATCCGCTTGTGGAAATGAAGCTCGTCCAGTTTGCTCCTGCGCTTCCGCCACCTCATCTCCATGCCCTGGAACCTCCTCCTGCCGACAGGTAAATTAAATATCCACAGCTTCTAACTACCTTAATTATTCTCCAGAATACCTGCTGCCAATCCATCGACAACTCCCTGGCCGCCCTCCAACCTCAAAATTACCCGGTCCCTGTCCCGATGTGCCCCGGATCCAACGTACCTCCGCTTGGCGAATGCAATGAGCCTTGCCCGCAATGTAAATTTTATTATCTAAATTCTTACAAAATCTTAGACTCCGCCTGCACCCCTGGAATTGGCTGCTGCCCCGTTCCGGTCCTCAACAACAATAATAACAGACCGGCAAATATTCAAGTCAAACTTTGCCCCGGATCATTCTCACCTCCTGTCGGAACCTGTGGTGCTTGTCCTCAGGTATGTAAATCCTTAAATCTAAACATTATATTTTAAGGGATCCGCTTGCAATCCTACACTAAACGCTTGTTGCCCATCAGCGCGTCAACCCTCCACCGATGTGATGTACCAAGTGTTGATCTTATGTCCTAGTATGACGACACGGAATGGCAGACACCGCAAGTTTAGGTGGTGATCAGCCCTCTTCACAATGCGGCAACGGATACGCTTGCCCGACCGGAAGCTCGTGCTATCAAGGATCTTGCTGCCCGATGCAGTGCCCGAATTCGCAGGTATATTGCTAACCTTATTATAAACACGAATATGATGTTTAGACTGCGGTAGGCTTCTGCTCAAATGGCGGTTGCGGATCGGGAACTTGCAATTCGGTCTCCGGCACCTGCTGTCAGGAATCCATTAGTCTGCCAGTTTGCGCTAATGGACAACAATCAAACAGACGGTAAATCGTTTGGCTAATGGGCTGAGAAAAATTATTTTGCAGATGTTCCTCCGATTTGGAATGCGGGTCGAATATGGAATGTTCGAATGGAGGGTGTTGCCCAAGGCCGTTCTGTCCGAGTGGCGTACAGGTTCGTCATGAGTATCATAAAGCGAAGTACTTGCCGGAAAATGTATGCAAAGAAAAATAAATTTGATATAATGTCAATAATGGCAACTTTAGGCCGGTTCGCGTTGTTCCGGAAATGGCCAATGTCAAGGCGGACAAGCCTGCATGGAAGGGCTCTGCTGCCCACTTCCACGTTGTCCTGGAGGTGGATAAAGTACTATAAAAGGAACTATATAAATTATTCAAGGCATCATTGCCCTCGCCACCTGCACCCGCGCATTTGACTGCGGTCGCCCTGGAGTCGAGTGCGTAAACGGAGGCTGCTGCCCTCTTCCGCAATGTTCCGCTGGCGTGTTCGCGGTTAGCCGGTAAGGGAGTAAAATACCTTAAAATTTACCATTATGAAATAGATGCGGTAGCGGCAAGTCCTGCGGTAGCGGATTTTCTTGCAACAAAGGTGGATGCTGCCCCCTGCCTCAATGCCCGACCGGAGGCGTGGCGCTTTCAAGCTGTACTGGTGAGTATTTGGCAACATAAATACGAGACAATGTTTTGGTATGATTTCCCTATGCTTTAGGCGGATGCGCAACCGGGTTCGAGTGCTCAAACGGTGGCTGCTGCCCCCTGCCAATCTGCCCAAATGGTGTCCCGGCCACTCAACGTTGCAATGGAATGTCTTGCGGCCCAGGGCGCGTATGTTTTTCAGCTTTTGTTGAGATGGACTCTTGACAATGGAGACGCTACCGGAAACATCAAGTGATATTAGATTAGCTGGTTTGCTTGATCTTGTCTAGTTGCAAAAATTACTTGATTTGTGCAGAATCTGCTCTGCATTAACCTGTGACCGCGTCAAAAATTCATAAAAAGCTAATATTTTTGAATTCAAATTCTAAAATTCTGAATTTTTGAGTGAGTATATCAAGGAACTCAACAATCTAGATTTAAAGTTTTCATTTAGCAATGCGAGAACGGTGTTTGCTGCTCGATCCCAATGTGCTCCTCTGGATCAGCCGCCGTATCGATGTGCGGCGGAGGGAACATGTGTCCGATGGGATACGTTTGCGAGGGACGTGGTTGTTGTCAAGAACCGCTTCCGCTTTGTCCTAATGGCGGTCGTGCGGCTTCACGGTGCAATCGTGGTTCGGACTGTCCTCCAGGCTATGGATGTAGCGCTATGGGTAAGTTAGGAAAATTCGGAAATCATAGGTTTTTTGTTTTAGGAGGGTGTTGTTTGCTTTCAATGGAACCGGCCTGCCCGCAGTCTATGAATGCTGTCTGCCAATGTTCGGCAAACCAAGCCTGTCCCAATGGTGCCAGCTGCAATATGGGTACCTGTTGTGCATCTACCTGTAAGTAATTTTTCCTAGACCATCACTTCTTTATCGTTTTAGCCGTGATGAAATTTGCTCAAGTACCCGGAACCTCGTGCTCTGCCAACACTCAATGCAACGGGTTCATGTCGCAGGGTTCGCAATGCGTGCAAAATGTTTGCGTATGCATTAATGGCGCACAAAGCAACGGTAATTTTATAACCTCAAATTGTTATTTTTCTTTAGGAGCGACATGCCAACAAATGCAACCCACCGTCATCACCCTTGCGAGAAATGGTTGCGACAACTATGGTATAATTCGTGGGACTCTTCCAGAGTTGTTTCTTAGGTTCACCCTGCCGTTTTCTACTTTCATCGGCTAGAAGAAAGCCAATCTTCGCTCCTCTCACCTCCATTAATGAAACGTCCAAACCACGTGGGTCCACAAAATCCCCGCATCATCAAGCGATTCAGTGTTTTTCAACGTGGCCGCCCCCCGGAAATGCATCCGCAGCGTCGATTCAGATGGCGATTCGACCTGTCTGCCCAACGAGAAATGCATCGATGGAAAGTGCAAAGCGTAAGGGGATAACTCAAATCGTGACATCGCACTTTTTAGAAAACTTTGGCCCGGTGAATATGGCTGCGAGGTAGATTTGGAGTGTTCATCTCGATGCCCGAGTACGTATTGTGAGGAGCGGAAGAGCGACAAGGAGGCCGCCCAGTGTCAATGCAAGGATGGATTGTTGTTGTATGGACGATGCTGTAAGTTTAAAATCGAAACTAAAATTGTAATAATAATTTTCTACATTGAGTTTTCAGTCGCTGAATGCCCCCGCGGTTTCCATGAGAGCGGGGCCTACTGCGTCCACGATAGCGAAGAAGAATTCTGGAAGGACTCTGATGCCCAGGATAATCTTAAAGCTCTCCTTAATGCCGGTACCTGCTAAAAATAATCTCAATCTTTTACATTATACTTACATATGTCTAAGCATCTATTTATTATCCGGTGGTATCACAGTTCTATGTGAGTGCATACATAAACGATTTTTTTCTTATTTGTGATTTTATGCGCTGCTTGTACATAACTGGTAAATATTGATTTTTATTATCTTCTGAATCTACACTCCACAACCGGACATTCTCACAAAAACAAAATTTCGGCACAAACACCGCTCTACTCGGTTCAAGCAGCTCAAAACTGTCGCGAGCGGGGCACCGCTTTTTTCACCCCCGACTTATCTTGGGTTGAACCGAGGGCATAGGGCTCCATAAAAAGCCCTATCGTTGACTGGCCCCACCTCCAGCTGATTCCTTATGCCCGGCTTCTCCCCGGTGCCTGATAAAAATGATCGATTCGATTCGAGGCCCGCCTTATTCAACATCGCCACGTCATCTCACCACATTTCGCACGTTCGCCCCGGCCCCCGGGCCGCCGTGAAACATTGCATCGGCGCGAAAATCGTAAAACTTCAACCCCAGCCATTTGTTGTGCTTTCCCCTTACTGCGGCGCGAACTAGCGCATTGATTTTATGTAGATGGCTTTGGTTTTATGGGTGTTATTTTTGGTCTGGGTGTTTTCATAATAGAGATCGTTTTTATTCGGAATTTCAGTTACATTAGGTTTAGAATCGGGTCCGGTTGCACGGCGGGCTTATGCGATGATGGAATGCTGCCTAAGGTCAGCAGACAAACAGGTATATTTCCTCTAAAAAACGCAACATGAAAATTATTTCTAATTAATTTTCGTGAAAGCATTCGATTTCGCAATTATTGCTTTTTTGCACAAGTGATTGCAACCTTCCTTTGATTTTGAAACCCTGATGGTTGCCACCTAATGAGCACAAATTTTCTAATTGATTTCGTTTCAGATTTCGGCCTTTGTTGCCGCACTCCTCTCTTTCATCGCACAGGTCCTTAGCGCACTTATAATACAGGTAATTCCCAACTTTTCTGAAAACAATTCGAACCTAGGATACGAGCTATTTTTTCGGCATAATCACATTTTCCCTCTGCTGCCATGCCCTCCTTTTCCATGGCATCAAAAAGCGAAAGATGAGTTTTATGGTGCCGTATCTTGTATGCCAGGTGATTTCGCAACCCACGATTCGAGAACGTTCTTTTAGATTGTATGTGCCGCTTACGTTCTCGGGGAGACGTTTAATTATAGCCGTGGTCTGAGTAACGAATCGTCTGTTGTAAGTGCACTAATGGTGAAAGAGGTTATTGGGTGTTTAGGCTGGTTGTTTCTATCCCGACGTCAAAAACTTGGAGCGAAACAAAGATAAAGGGGATTCGGATTGTAGTTCCTATTATTGGACTGATCTGGATACATTTGAAGATTATCAATCGGATAATATCCAATCACCGTTTAATATTACCTGCAATGAATGTCGAGATGGTACGCCATTTGTGTTATAAAAACTTTAATTTTAATACTTCTAGAATTCCGTCACTATGCGATCCTGGTAATCGTCAGCCAAGCCGCCGTGCTTGTGTCGTTTATTCTGACGTGGAATGTTGTGCTGAGATTCGTACTACATCTGCGTTCGGAGAAAATGCGGTAGCTTGCCATTATTTAGATCGATATATACCTTAACTTACAGCGAACGAACCCACCCAGCACCCCGAGTCTCCTATTTCAACACCGGGATGACTAGTGCTGATGTAATTCCGGAACATCCTCCGCGACCTCAGAATGCACCTCCAATCTACACAGAAAAGGCTTTAGCGCGTAAGTATAACCTTATGCTAGATCTAGAAGCTTAATGTACCTAAATAATCATAGTAGATCCCACCAATCTCTCCGAAGATGGGCGCCACCAGAGAACGGATAGCCTCCCGGCTTATGAGGCAGCTACCACCCCAGCCACAGCCCCAAATGATACTCCCATCATGCACGCCGATACCCCAACCACCCCCGAACATCCCACCAACAATCAACCGACCCGCCCGGTGACCATCGACGATCTGCTTTGAACTCTTTCATTTGGGTTCTTGTAATAAATCTAAAAATTATGCGCAAGCACTATATGGAAAATATACAAAAATCTAAACACTATACTATAGGTTTCGTCAATTTTAACGATGTAGTGGCCTATTTTTCTTTTTTTGTTTTGGTTATCGGGTTTGCATTTAAAAAATACCGGTCCCCAAGTCTTTAGCAAATTTGTAGCTATGGCTTTCGCGATACAGACGGTTGAAACCCTATTATCTTTTTGAACTCTGCCTTTTCCTTAAAACTACACACTACGCTATCAGACCGTGAAATCAAAATGCCTGAAACTCTCCACCTTTCGAAAGAATATCCGATTCGATCCCCAGCTTTCAAAGCCCAATGGTTGCCAAAGACTAATACCAAGACAAAAGGTTTTCCCGCCAGCATCTGGCCTTCTACGAAGAAGAGGAAGACGCCCCCATACTCCGCCTCCACCTCCCCTTTTCGGCGACTCTTCATCGCCACTTGGCCATCGTCCTCCTCTTCTCTTGCTCCTTCTTCTCTTTTCCTCCTTCTCCCTGCCATCCTCCGTAGACCGGTGATTGCATTTGGCGTACTACGCCCTATCTCTCCTAACCCAACCACCCGCATCGTCGCGAGCTGTGCCACTTTTTTGCTACTGTGGTGGTGCTGAAGGGAGAGGTTTTATAGGGGGTTGAAGCTTTGAAATTCTGAGGTTTTTCAGGTATTTCGCAACATGCTCGTTTTCTATGGGTTTAGGGAGTAAAATTTTTCCTAAATCCTGGTTTGAAAAAAATCGCAAATGGATGAGGGTTTTAAAAGTCATGAGATCGAAACCTATACCCTTCTTGTACTATATTACCTGATATTACCCTGGTTTCACGTTTTCTAAAGTAGGAGAACGATTTATTTGTCTGTTGTACTTTAAAAATTTGCAACAATATATGCTCAATCCCCCCAATGCACATTTCTGCTTCTGTCATAAGAGATTTCAACGTCTCCTCTCCGAGCGCATGGATGTGCCCTGCTTACGAAAGCATGACCAAAAGGGGGAGAGGAACATGTGAGTTGGGCCTCCCCTTGGAAAGGGGGTGCTGAGCCCTGGGATGTGGCCAGTTTTTCAGACGCAATTAGGAGGGCACGGGCTAGCCTCTATGGCCCTCACCCCTCCCCCCCTTCGCTTCGACCCCCCCTCCCCCCAGATCCACACATACACATCGCACTCATCCAATGAAGCTGTTGCTCAAAATAATCTAGCGTTTTGTAGCAGCTTAGGTCTTTTTAATTATTTACTGCTTTTTCCAAAACTATATCCGTATGTACCTTACGCCATTCTGTCGTCTTAATCTTATATGAACGGGTAAACGTCATTACTTCGAAAGTCATTACTTCGAAAAGTCATTTCTTCGAAAAGTCATTTCTTCGAAAAGCCATTACTTCGAAACGCAATTACTTCGAAAAATATGCTCATTTGGACTGTTCATATTACGAAATTCATGACACTGACGATAAAACCATTGCGTAGGTACCATATGCCTATTCTATTAAGGTTATTACTGTGTAGAATTTCGGTCTGTATTATGATTGTGAGTCACCCCATCTCCACGAATTATTATTTTGTTATAATGATCCTTGCATTCAATCACTGAAGCATCACGATGTTTACCTAAAAATGTCCGTGTATGTTTTGATGCTCTCTGAAGTGACATCAGAAAATGTTCGTACTAACCAACCAAAACATCGAAAAATCTGGGGGTAAAGTAAAAATTTGCCGATTTTTTTCACGCGACGTATACAAAACTCAACCGAATAAACGGGCCGGTAGAGGCAGAATGGTGTCAATTAGCGTACGTTCTATGTAGGTTTTTCGAAGTAATGACGTTTCGAAGAAATGGCTTTTCGAAGTAATGACTTTTCGAAGTAATGACTTTTCGAAGTAATGAATTTCGAAGTAATGACTTTTCGAAGTAATGACTTTCGAAGTAATGATTTTCGAAGTAATGATTTTCGAAGTAATGACTGGCAGCCTATATGAACAATCCAACTACAAAAACCTGTTTTCCAATGCCTCCCTTTAAAAGTGCCTTATTTCATGCAAACTCAGCAATTAATATTCATGAATCCACCCCTGACGCAACATCCGCATCCTTTTTTTTTGCGCTCCGCCTCCCTCTACCTCCTCCATCTCATTTTCGGCTCGACGCCGGCTAATGAACAACATCTTCCCCCTCCCGCCGAAAACGACATTCGAGAATAGGGATCAGAATTGGGTCCCCCGGCCGTCCAGCCGGACCATTGTTTAATTGCAGCTGCCGCATTGCCCTAACCACAAAGAGGCATGCTTTTTTATGTTTCTTTAATGGATTCCCCTTTTTCCATTCGGCTAAGTGCACCAGGCGGGAGGGTTCAGCGTTTTTTGCGCTGTTCATGGGCGTCTTCTGGAAGGAGGGCGCTAGGCAAAATGGGAAATTGCAAAGGAGGAGGGGGTTTACCTTTGTAGGGAGCAGGAGCTAGCATTATTTTTACTTTTAGTTTGGAAGTTAGGAACGCCCATGTAAAACTTATTTGTATAAAAACGATTTTTGTTAAGAATTAGCAGAAGTGTACCCTGCCAGGACCACTTCCCAGGAGTCGCTCTCTCCGCGGGGTTTTCCATATCGTTTCCGGTTGAATCTTTTCGAATTGTTGACGAGGCCTGCTCTACGCGAGCCTTCTTTCTCCCCTTACGACCCGAAACCTCGGGTTTGATGCTTTTTTTTGCCGACCTTGAACCACGGAAACCTTTCCACCTGCTTTTCTGAATAACCAAAAATACCACAAACAAACAATGTTTCAACCTCCACCGCAACTTCTTTGTTGCAAGCCTACTCACCTCTCAAAATTCACAGCGATTTTCGAACCCTGACCACTCGAATGTCCGGGGCGCCATTCGGTTCGCCTCATTTGTTATGCTTCGCCCCCTCACACCTCAGGCTCGAAATGTTTATTTCCCATCCTCTAGACACCTCTCTCTCTCACTCTCCCCCTTTAACCCTGTTTGCCGGACTCATTCTCCCCTGCTATCCTCTATGTATTAGCCTGAGTCTCCCTATCCAACCCGCCTTTTCCTCTCTTACCGTCCCCATTGAACCCCATCTCAACCAGATGTCCAAGTTGCAAACACCTCCCCAACTCCCATTTTTCGAGTCCCCCCCCTCTTCTCCGCGCCAATCCCATCCCAAATAAACAAAGCACATGTTGTTAATTCTCAATAAACTCCGCAATAGCCGCTGAAACGCGGGCGAAAAAATCATTGGGCTCGAATTTCAAATATTTCTCTCACCAGTCTCGTCAGGGAGGGGCAGCCATGCAAAGATGTCATAGTTCGAGGAATAGAATAGATGACAAACTATTTGCGGTTCGAGCATCGCATGCGTATTTGGCTGTAACACGCCCACGCATTGTCGTCAGGCATTTTATGATTGTCGATGGGAATGTAGGGTTGGATTAGTGTAGAATGGCGGCGTGTTTTGCGCAGTTTTTCAAATCATTTGTTATCGGTGGTTATATCGACATTTTAATTTGTAGAAAATAAATTTTTTTGATATTAAACTTTGTACAAATTTTAATTTCCGGAGATTTATTCACCGCAATGATTCAGAAAATTGAGATTTCAGCATATGGGAATTGCGACAAAATGGGATTATCGCTTTTTATGACATTGTTTATATTCATTTCGATCACGAAAAACCAATTAGAATATTTAGTCAAATAGTCACGTGAATAACTTAATCAAAAATATTTCGCCTAAAAAAATTTATTTATATCTGCCTAAAAATTTTTCTCCACCCGATTTTGCACTTACTTTCGACTTTATCACTTCAAAAAATATCGCTCAATGCGCTGCCAAAGAGAAATCATGAACGGTCATTTCTTGATTGACGCTTGATATGGCAAAATCGCTTGCCTTGACAGTTCTTCACCCTGTGACCTGGCCCCCTCGCTATCTACCCCTTGCATGCCAAAAATTTCCGCAAATATCCTTGCTACATATTGCCCTCCTCTCGCTGGACCCACATTTCTGGCCTAATTTTTCAATGCCCAGTCCCAGGCTCCTTTCTTCCCACCCATAGAGACCCACCCACAACTTTTCGGCGGACAGCTCTTGCTCTCTTTTTCTTTCTCTCACTGTCTCCATTGCTTTCCAAATGATGTTGGGCCTAGCTGTCACAAGAAAGCAAAAAAGACTTGGTTTGCCCCTTTCTCCTCTCCGGTTGCATAAGCAGCGAGGTCAATCCGTAGGTCTTGTCCTCCCTGCCTCCCCCCGTTTCCACAAGGTTCAAGTGAAAAAGGTATGCTGCATGCCCTCCGGGAAGGGGGGGGGGGGGGCAGTTTGGAAACACTAACCCCCTAAAAAACGCCGTCCAGCTCACACCCCGCCTCTCGGGCCGCCATTGCTAATGATGGAATTTGCGGGTCCCCGGCTGGTTGCCCAGTTCGTTCTCTTTTTTTCTGGCTGTGCCACACACGAGGTTATTCAGCGGCCGTTTTCCAATTTCGAGACCAACAAATCCCCGGGCATTGGGGCCGTGTCCACCCTTTTTTCGGCTCACACATCTTTTGTTTGGGTGCACGCAGCTCGATGGATTTATCAACATGCACGGTTGCTGTCAATTCCAACATAACAACCTGTTTCTGTGAGATCTTGGATGCATTTGGAAACGTTAAACGCTAAAATTTCCTAGATTTTTTCATTTCACTATAAAAAGATCTTAACACACTTTTCTAACTGTATAAAACCTTTTGGACTTACTTTTCTTGGACTTTCAACATTGATCAGAATTTTTTTTTGCTTATTATTTGAGGTGTGAAGTTTGGGTGACAATAAATACACGAAAACTTAATTCCTCCGATTTATTTGCGATATTTGAGTACTTGGCTTCCTAATTATAATTATGAAGAAAAAGGTATACTGTTCTATCCCCTAGAAATTTCTGATGTCTCCCCTTCAAAGACCATTTCTATACCTAGACACCTC